CTGCATGTCATCAGCTGGCAGTGTGGGGTGAGGAGGAGAAAATGAACAAACCCACTCCGGTACAAAATATACACCGCAAGTTCACAGGGCGTACTGTTCAGATGTCTGCACGTTTGAAACCTGCGCTCCATCTCCCACAACAGACCCCAAACCAAGGACATGTTATAATATTTTTATTTAGGAAAGCCCCTTTGAAAAGTAACAAACAGATTAGTTATTTTAGAATAAATATACATTATTGCAGTTAAGATCCCGTTCTGTGTTTCTCTTTATAGTCTATAGCCTGTGCCAGACTCTGCAAGACTCTGCATTATTGTTTGCAGTCACAGAAAGTTAAAAAGTTTAAAAGGGAGAGTCAAGTATAGTGTTGCCTGCAGTGGGTTCATTGCTTAGTATTTCTGTCCAGGGCCCAACGAAAGTTGGGGACCACTGCTTTAACACAGCAATAAGCATTCAGATTAGCAGCATGTCATGTTCTTTCCAGGAGTTTATTTAACTTATGAAGTACAAGCTCATGGTGCAGAAGAGCAGACAAGAGGGGAGAAACCTCAGTCATGGTCCAGCTAATCCTATCTCCTGTTTCTCTCAATGGCCATGCTGATATTAATGGTGGTTAGTGTAGCGTGATATGAATTGCAAGTGATTTAAGTCCTAATCCAGTGAATACTCACATACTCAGAGTAACCTCTACACATGAACAATCTCACTGAACTCAGAGGAACAATTTACAGTTATCAAATTAATTGGATGTTAATATTTTCAAGGATGCTCCTTCTTTGCCTGTATTTTAACACAGAAGAGTGAAAATCCTAGTCTGGGTTCCTGAATTCATTCAAAGGACATTGTATTCAAAAGGTTTATTCTGGATTTCTTCCAATGTCTGTGACATTGAATGAGGAGCGTGGTCCATTGAAAGTGGAGATGGTGGTTCCACCTTGCATTCGAGCATTTCTCCAGCCGTTCATTCACATCACGCTTTTATGTTTATCGTTACTGGGAGAGAGGAAAGAGAGCTTTTAAGAAAGATGAGGGTCTGTGCGATGGGCTGTGGAGCTTTGATTGGAACGACCTTCTTAGTACTTGGTGTCCTAACATCTGGCCTTGTTCTTATAGAAGAATTGATGTGTGCTTTACTGTGGAAATAAGTACCATTTAAGAAAAGTAAATATTATAACTGCATGTTTTCTAGACACTGTGTAAGAGTGCAAATCCTCAGTGGAGGGAACAGTTTGATTTTCACTACTTCTCTGACAGGAAGGATATGTTGGACATTGAGGTCTGGAGAAAGGATAACAAAAAGCACAAGGAGCTCTTGGGGACGTAAGTTTTTTGGTGGGGGGATGTAAAGTGTAAAAGATAATGTAATTTTTACTTTTTGTAATTGATCCATTTACTTTCATTGCCCAGCATCATGCTGCATGTTTCTCATTATTCTGCTCAAGTCCAGATGCCTCTGTAAGGGTATGTTTATTAAAACCTATTACTGGGTGATTGATTAACCATGACCTGAATGCAGAGACACCCAAGCTGACTCTGCACATGCTAACTGTAAAATCCAAATACTGAGGGAGCTTGATCTCATCTGATTTTGGGAGAGCTGGTGGCAGTAAGGAAAGCAGTATTTGTCTGTATTTACATGATAATAGTGCTTCCGGAAGCTGTTGCTGTACACTGCAGGGCAGACTTGCCGGGTCAGATTGGCACTAGCTCAGGGTGGTTTGTGCTCCTTTTGAGAGTGGTGCTGGCGTGCCTTTTCTCTATTTGCACTTTCTTTATTTGCACCTTCGTGGTGTGCTCTTATAGCCTTGTTTACATATGCATCCTGTTACTTGGGTTTGCTTTTATTTGTGCGAGCTCTTCCCCCTTGCCACTGGGAACTGACCTCTGTGGGGCTGGTGCTCACCAAGTTGCACAATCTCATACTGCTTAAAGCATTGCTCTTCTGGTGACCTCCCAGGTGATCTTTCCCCTGGCTGATACTGGCTTTTACCCTGTTACGTTATTCCATTATAACTTCAAATTCTCAAGTAATGATGTTATGCTATATTATCAGATGAAGCTTTTTGAGAGTTAGCAGTTGAACCTTTAATTCATGAATGGGAATAGAGTATGGCTCTTATGTCCTCATCTTTCTCCTTCACTCTAACCTCATCCTGTTTTAGAGACTGTACAGTCCTGATTTACTAACAGTGACTGTATCTTCCTTCCTATTATCTCCCTTTTCTTGACTTGCCGCGTTGTCACCTAGACCCTTTTCCTGAAACTGTATCTGCACAGTTGGATGCATGCAGCAGCACAAAGAGCTATTTAATTTACTGGAGCCCTCTTGGGTCTGTTTGTGCTTATCCACTTGCAGGATCAGTGCTGCAACCTCTGAATTCTTAGAGGCAGGGATCCTGTCTCCAGTTGTTTGTGTTCTCACCTAGGAAGCTTTTCACAACTTGCTGACTAAATAGCGGTAACTAATAAGAACGTCCTATTACTTTAAGCATTCAAATAGTTCAAAACTATTCACTGAAAAGAACAATGCCCTTTGGCTCTACAAATGTTTGTGGTTTCACAGTGCAGGAAATGCTTTCTGGCTGAATGCTATTGCTCATCACAGGGAGAAGTGGTTGGAGATGAATCCGTTCCTTCCATTCTCACAGTTACTTTTATGACTTCTGATATTTTCTGTTCACAGTTGAGAAATGTAGCAGCATTTGCTGCTTGCCTCTGTTGGGTCTCCCTGATGCTGGAGGAATTCTTCCTGAGGTTTTTTGCCTCTTTTCTCCTACTGACTTCTGGCAGGTGGTGTTCAGTATGGCAAAAAATCATCAGCAAAAAGCTAATTCTCTAAACAGTGGTATTGCTAAAGATTTCAGCACTGGGAAAGCCTGAATGTGTAAGATTTACAATAAAGTTGTTTTTGGTGTCCATATGGAGAGAAAACATTACTGTCGCTGCCTCAAGCACAGCAACTTTGCTGTAGCATCAAAAGAGAAAAAATGTACTAGATTTTAAAGAGTGATTGCAAGAATAGGTAAACACCAAATACGTAATAACAAGCCTTCTTTGCACAGTGTAGAAACTTTTGACACTTAATAATTTTTTATGAATGGTTCAAGTGCAGTCTAATCTGAAAAAGGATTCTACAGGAAAAAAAAATATTATGAGGTGTTTATTGTCTCCTTGACTTCCAAGTCAAGTTTTGATGTTTCTAGGTTTTGCAACATTACTGTAAGAAAGACTGTGCAGCAAAAATGTCTGTGGGTTATGCTTGGGCATTGCGTGGAACAGTGCACTCCAACTGCCTTCAAGCAATTTGCATAGATTTAAGTAAAGGCAAAATCTGGTACTGCCACTGGATCTTAATAATTCGGTGGTTAATAAGCGGATAGAATAGAAGCCATCTTGTTCTCCCAGAGCTGTGTAGGCTGAACTGGTTGCTGGACCTTAAAAATAATTAATATTTAGCAGAAGGCAGAGATGCACAAAGTGGAGTCGTGTTTGATCTGTACTGGGAAACAACTATGTGGAGTAAAAACTTCTGATTCCTTTAGGTCCAGGATGTCATGTAGGAGGGGTGGCTTAAGTCCTGGGAACATGGCCCTTCTGAGTATAACTTTAATTTCAGATAGAGTATTGCTCTTGGAATAGGACTGGAAGCTTGTATGAAGAGTATGGAACACGTAGAATAAGAAGTGTATCAGACCTCTAGTACTAAACACTACCATCTGGGACTTTTATCTACTTCTGAATAAGTGAACAAGCATTCACTGCAATTTCATGTCACCCTTCTGCTCTCAGGAGATGAGCGCTCATTGTCAGTGCACATTGCAAGCTAAATTATGACATTCAGCCTACCTACGGTCTCCTTATATTTTCAACCGGATCTAATTTCTCTTCCTCGCTTAATATGCTGAAGCATCGAGTGAGTACTTCAGCTGCCAGAGTCTGACACTGAGCGGTGGCTGTATTTTGGTACTGGATGAAACAATCCCTCTATGTAGTCTGCACAGAACTGTTAGTTACATTTATTGAGTGCTTTTTGTGTCCTTTGGGATAAGAGGCATGCCATAAACAGGAGATGACGTTAATGTATATTAATAAACAAAGGTGTTAACGTTTGCAGCATTTGTCTAGGCTGAGTGAAATTGTTTATGCCAAGTTGTTAGTGTGTTTCTGTGTTGAGGTGTATGTTTTGAAAGAAATACTAAAAAATGTTATTTTTTTTTTCTCCACAAATTTGGCTCCAGAAATACATTCTGCAAAAATTCTAGACTTAAGAGCGTAAGCTATGAGATGGGAGTGTGTCAGATATCTTTGAGGAGTGCCTCTGGGAAACGATGCCTTTGCAACGTGGAATGATCCCGTTTTAAAGGACAAGCAGTTGGGATTAAACAGTAAAAATCTACCACTTGTTTAAATTCTACAAACCATAGGAAGAATCAGACAATCAAAACTTATCTGTAGAATGATTCAGAATAGGACCATATATATGGTCTCCTTAACACTTGTGGCATTTGAAATCCCTTTCCAAATATTAATCATAGACACATCGTATTATATATGATTATAGTGATCCTAACCTTTTTCATGAATGATTTTCAAGAATTCTACAGGATGAAGTCTTGGCAATGATCTGTGTAAATTTTTTTTTTCATATGTGTGTATATATGAAACGTGAAAAAGATTTGAGATTTACTCATCATAATTCGACAAACTGTGGATTTGGTTGTAAAATATTCCTCCCTGATTAATGGTAAGAGGTTAAGCCCAACACCTTTTAGTCGAATTTAACATCCAATTCCCTGATAAACAAATTTACCCCTCCCCCCTTTTATTCTGCCCTGAATTCAAACAATACATCTTTGCAGAATGAATACAAAAATGTGCAAAAAATTGTTTAGCAGATAAATAAGGGGGTTGCAAATAAATCAAAAGAATAATGTTAAATGAAAACTAAAACTACAGCAGAGTCCTCTGCAGGACTCAGGGTCGATATAGAGGTGCAGACCTCTATATTGATCAGTAGGAGGAAGGAAAGCAATTAATCGTGATAGAAAGGGTGCTGCATTGCGTACATAGTACAGTCTTAACATATAGTCAGTCCTGCATCCCCTATAGATCCATGTGTCTGATACGTGTTATATGAAAGGTTATACCTGAATTTAACATGCAGATTAGGGAATTTTCTTAGATTCCTATGTGGAGAGTTTAGCTCAAGGGGTCATTTGCATCACTGAAGGTATAAATAATCCTTGAGGTTTGCACTTTGCATTCAGGTGAGGCAACTTCTGAGCAGAAACTGCGGATTGCCTCTCTGAGTTTTATACTGTGCCCGTCATCGTAGTATCTTATCACTTCTCTGTAAAACAACCATCTGTAATAAGGTCTTGCAGATATAACAGAAAAAGAAAGAAAGGAATAGTTTCTATCCTGGAAGGATGGGGGAAGTAGTTTAGAAGTCATTAGATTTTTATTAATAGTGTAAAAGTGCTTTTGTGGAAACTACTGAATGTATATAGTAAATTGAATGGAGGAGTATTTTACTCAGATGCATTCTTTGCAGTCTGATCAATTACCTTATATAACCTAAATGAAACAAATTGTATTTTTTTTTCTTAAGCGTTTTGCCATTTGTGAGTGAAAAGGTGGATTTTTCTTTTCAGTTTCCCCAAAGAAAACATAGAGGCATACCGTCACTTTGAGTGAACACAGATGGTTTAAGGAAGTTACTTTGCGCGGAAATCGGACATGATTTGAGGAAGAAATGCTTGCACTCCGTCTCCTGCTGTTTTTCCCTCCACATGTGCATCCCTCCTACCGCACACTCATACTCGGTCTTTTCCTTGACCTTTGGCTATCCGAAGTCTTTGAATAAGTGTAACAATTCCAAGTTGCCAGAACAAGCTAGAATTATATTTAACTTTGCCTTTGAGGTGTAAGAGATTTCTGATGAGGTTAAGTTTTGATAGGATACTCTATTGTCTGACATAGTTGTCTTTTCTCTTTCTTTCCCCCATGTAAAGTTATTAACATAAAAAAGCAAATGCAGCTACAGTTAGTCAAGCATTTTCCAGTTTTGCATTGTGCTGAGTGGGTGGTGTATGAAATGTTGATGTGGGAGACCTGGCCTCTATTGCCAGCTAAACCACAGAACAGCTGGGTGACCCTGAATTTTCCCCTCTCTTTGCTTAAGTTTCTTCATCTGTTTTTTTTTTTTTTAAAAAAAAAAAAAGGAGATAATGATACTTGCCCCTTTTGTACTGATTGCTAAGGTATCAGTAAAACTGCTGCAGCCTGCAAAGTAACTTTGTTAATGCAGCCAAGGTGCTCTTGACCTCTGGGGGAGACTGATAAGGTCCTTCTCAAACGTTCTTTTTTTTTTGTTTTCTTTTCTGCTGTGTCTTCTCTTGTCATATCTTTCTGAAGAGTCCAGGTGTAGCAGTGAGCTTTAAATGCAACCTCTCACACTTGGAAATTGTGTCGAGAGGCAGCCTGCGCGCAGAGTGGTTTTGGTGCTCTTCCTGGTTTATTTTCCTTCTCTTTCAAAGCACTTGAGAGCAGTTAATAGGAGTAAACTTACAACCTGTTGTACGTTCCGCACAGGGAATGGCAAAGAGCGTACTTAAGGCAAAGTTATCCCCATTGATTCTGGGCAGGAGACTCTGGCACAAAGAGCCACGTTTTAATGCACAGCCCTAATGGATGACTTACAGCCTCATCAGAGCACTGGCTTTTATTTCATAACATAGCTTGTTGGGTTTTCAGGCTGAAATGTTTTGGGAAGGTTCCCCCCGCCTGCTCTCCCTCCCTTAGCATTCACAGAAAATAGGCTGTTAAGAAGCGGAAAGCATGCAATTTATAGCAGATGGGTATAAACTGCTCCAGCTCTACTACTGGAATGGGATCAATCAGGAACACTACATGCACCATTTACCCAGAAGAAACCCACCTGGGGGAACCCTGTGGAATTTTAGCCTATTAAGACAACACCTTAACAAGTTTAGTTTAAATAAAAACTTGTCGGCAGGCATTAAGCGGAGCGAAAGTGCGCTGTCTCCATCATAAGCTTGCTGTCCCTTTGAGAAATGCGACTCCCCTTGTGCTGTGGCAACAAAGCTGCTCCTTCCCTGATTTTTTTTTTTTTTTCCCCCCTCATCTGTAACTTTTGTTCAGCCTCTTCTTAAAAGCAAAGCCCCACAGAGGTTCGGAAAAGTTCCACTCCATTTACTGGACTTCTAAATAGAAGGCATTTAGCTGAGCCAAGTGATTAGACTTTCTGTTGCGTTTAACCACTTGCTTCACGTGTAGCTGGCTGGCTGGTGAACTCTCTCTGCTTTAGCCCATCCTTATCTTTTATTATTGTCCTTTCATAAATGTTTCTTTTCGCTCTTTTTTTTGTTTTTTGAAGCATCAGATTAACGATACATGCTATGAGTGAGGGGAGCGGGACTTTTAAGACAGCCCCTTGCCTTTGGGAAATATAACAGTACACTGAAAACGTAGCTCTAGTAAGGCTTGTAAAGGAGATTGGGGCATACAGTATAATGTAGCATAAAATGGAGTGTGTGACTTTAAAGAAACTAATCTATTTTAGGCTAATGTTTAAATTTTGTGTTTGCTCTTTTCCCCTAGGTGAAATAAAATTGTTTCAAATCTATCGCAAAACATTATGGGACTTCAGAGAGGAAGGGAGGCAAGTCAGAGTTAAATCTCAGTGTACAGCTTGCAACCCAAACCTTTTGCCTCTGTCCTTACCAGTAGGTGAACCAGAAAGCAAAACTGGCAGCAAGAACAGTGGAAACTGGCTGATCGTTTCCCCTGTTTAGTTTAGGGGTGCCTTTTTTTCCCCCCTTCATCTTTTCTGTCTTGAACAAGCAGTTTGAATTGTATTTATCTATTTCAAAATGTGATTCAGCTCTGAAAAGGTGTTTTAGGTGCCTGAGTGCTATTGAAATCAATATTAAGTACTGTTTTTATATTTTTTCCAGCTCACTTTTCTTAATAACCCTTGTCAATGTTGTCCTAGGTGCAAAGTTGACATTACTGCCCTGCCAGCGAAGCAGACCAATCGTTTAGAGCTGCCACTGGAAAAACATCCGGGGTCCCTGCTAATGTTGATTGCTGTCGCCCCATGTACAGGCGTTTCTATCTCGGATCTGTGTGTCTGCCCCTTAGGAGACCCCACTGAAAGGAAACAGATTTCACAGCGCTATGTGAGTTTGCATTTTATTTTTGGGTTTTTTTTTCTCTCCTTTATTTTTGAAAGTAGTCAAAATTGCAGCAAAAGATGATTTGTCCAGTCATAATAACATGTCTCCTACCAAAGAAAAGTATTACGTGCGAGAGTTATTATGTTTAGAATGACAAGGAGATTGACAGGGCAGATACAAGCAGCCAAATTCCTTGAGTCTATTTGTTCAGTTTTAAACTAATACTTTCCTTTGAAAACTTTGAATTGTGTTAAGGCATTATCATGGGGAATGAGAGGCTATGAATGTTACAGAGAGAGAATAATAATTAGCTTTGTTTTCTCCTTTGGGGGTGGAATATGTTCTGGACTATCAATTTCTGAAAGATAAAGACATATGATGACTTCCACTCATCAAGCCTGAAAAGTTGGACAAGAAGAAATTCCCTCACCCACAAAAGGTGTATTTCCCTCTAAAATGAGGTGTGTGAGACTGAAGCATGGGGGATTTGAACAGCTTAAGCCAAAGATGCTGCCGAGATCAAATTCGGGATTCCTCACTCCTGATTCAGTGTGCTGCCTCTTGACCCACCAGAGGGGGATCTCCAGATCCACCTGTGCCTAATTTTCTAATGCTGTTTCAATTGGCAAGTAATACTTGCATAAGCATGAAGGGCTCCCTCCAACCTCCTCCATCAAGTTAATGTGGAGCTTAAGTGAACTGAAAATTCCCTAGAAAGTAGCTAGCTTGTGATGTCATGAACTTCACGGATATGATGAGTGAGACTGGGACAGCGGAGCTGTATATATGGATATCAGCTGTCAGAGTGCTCTGCTGTAGATATAGGGATGAATATAAAAATATAAGTGCTTTAGTAGTTCATTAATACCTGTTTCTTAATAAAGTACAAACTAAATGCATCTTGTTGCTTTCCTCCGTACAGTGTATAAGGAATTCCTTTCAGGACATAAAGGACATTGGCTTCTTGCAGGTCAAGGTTTTAAAGGCAGCTGACCTGTTGGCAGCAGACTTTGCAGGTAATTTATTTTTATTTTCCAACATATGATTCAATTATGCATTTTGAGTGTTGTTTGCACTCTGTGCAGTCCTGTCAGTTGACCTCGTTGCCTCTTCAGAGGTGAAACAGCCTCAGGGATCTGGGATTCCAAAGAGTTTCGACCTACGATCCCAACGCATGTGGGAAAGGTCCCACTGGATGGAGATCTGATTCTCCCTTTAGATCCGAGTGGCATGTCCAATAACTTTGGCTTTCTAATCGGATTCTTCATTGAAAAATAGCTCATCTCTAGGCCTACCTTTGTAACTGTGATATGAGATACTTGGAGCAGAAGTAAATGTTCCGCTGTAGATGCTATGAGAGTTAATTTCATTCCTAGAAGCTTCATTTCAAAAGTGCATCAAATTTCAGGATGCCTATATTTACACCTAAGGAAGTATATATTGAGCACTGCCATCTGTTTTCTACCATCGATTCAAGGTGGTTTGGTGGATAGCAGGCACAGCCTACCACTGTTTTCTGTGCATGTTGCAGTAGGCGTGATACGGTCTCAAAAGTAATGCAAAATACATTCAGTTCTTACAAAAGGAAGAGTAAAGCTTGATGGAGGTTGCCAAATCCAGCTCTAGAAAAGCTGCACGTGCAAACGTGAGCTCCTTGGCTGCAGTTTATCTGCGATGACTATGATATAGGAGATGCAGGTGTTGCATTGGTTGGTGAGTATCATTGATATTGCAACTGGTAAGTGACAACTCTTTATGCTGCAGCCCTGTGCACCTTCCTGTGTTAACTAGTGAGCCTTGGGCTGATAGACAATCACAGAAGACTCTGGATTTATTTTATGACTCGTGAAACCCAGCACCAGTAGCTAGGACTGGCAAGAGGCTTGGCAACAGTTGCATGTGTTTTGAGACCATTGTGTTCTTCTAATGTCGATGTAAGAGTGAGCATCCTATGCATATGCATATGTGTTTACTGTGTCCTGCATATTCATAAGACTCTTCGTTATTAATGAGATATTGTTTTACTAACCCAGTGGGAAGATAGATTAGGGTAAATAGTTCTGATCCAGGGTGCAAGGCATCACTTTTTGTTACCTGGTTTCACTTGCTGACTCAATCTGTGATTTGACTCTCCAGGAAGACAGCGATACCCTGACCTTGCTGTTGTATCTTTCTATAGGAATATGTAAAATAAGGAGAATATATACAAAGCTCTGGTGACTGCGCAGTAGCCTGTCCATCAGGCGCTTTGTGAGTCTGTGAACTAGATGGAAGGATGCTACAGAGGACGCTGTGTGCCGGGCACCTGACACGGTGCTTGCTCAGGTTGCCTGAACGCATGGGCTTGGCTGGCACTACAGGCTGTCCCTGATAGCGAAACCTTGCCAGTGAGGGAAAAGTGAGAGCGATGGTTTCCCTTAGAGCTCGTTTGAGGCTTTGATTTGGAATGGTCTTTGTGGCTCTCTTGCTCCAAGAAAGGATAGATTTTTCTACTGAGCTTTACATCAAATTGTACTCAGTCCTGACAGCAATGAACACCAATACCTTTTAAAAATACAGCCTTATATGGTTTCTTTGGGGAAGTTCTAGGGAACTGATACTCCTCTGTAGTGTCTACCTGGATGCTATTATTTTTATTAGCATCTTCTCCAGGATTCTGAAGACCTTTAATTCCCCGTTGTGTCTTGCAGCAGTTTGAAATTCACAGACACAGGATTGCATGCTGCACGTTTGCTGGCACAGTCATTTTTAAGATAACTTGTTGATAAAAGTGGGAAAGATGCTAGAGAGAAAATACGTTTTCTCCATTTTCTGGTATTCATGCAGGCATCGTAACTTAAGAGAACGTTGCTCCTGAAATAAGGACCAAAGGATAAAGCCTAATGTGACTCATATTATTCCAGTCTCAATTCGCTGCTTAATCCTACAGCAAGAATGAGGTTACTGCAGACAGCAGTACCTTAAAGAACTGAACTTAGTTTGAAAACAAACAAGCAAAAAAACCTGCCACTAACAATAGGTAGCTTGTGCAAAAATGGATTTCTGAATTGATACAATGTATGCATAGATATGGAAGTGCTAGTGTACCCTCACTAATAAGTTTAATAAGAACTATCCTACAGCAAGCCAGAAACTTTTGCAAATGGCAAGGCTAGGGCCGTCTAGGAATACACCAGATTTTAATACAGGCAGTGTCCAGGGAAAGAACGGAGCCCTAAAGGTTATTTATCCTTTGGATAACTTCACTGAAGCTAATGCAGTTGCATCAGCGATGGATTTGGCCCCCTTTCCATGAATACTTAAACAGGAGCATGTGGGTGGATAATGAACATTGGAAGAGACGCACAGGTTCTTGATTCTGCAATTCAACGACTTTTCATAAAGAGTGTGTGACACACATTCCTTGTGCATAGCACAGAATGAAATTCTGCTTAAGTAAAAGGTTACTCAGTCTGTCATTATATTCAAAATAACCCAGGCTTTGAGCCTGATTCATGAAGCAAATGACAAATTGTTTTTCAATGGCAGTGCTGAAAATATCCTGGTATTATGCTGTAATAGACCCACCAAATTGCAAAAGGATGCAGCCATTTTAGGTAAAAATAGCATAATTTCTGATCGTGAAATGAGAGACATAAAGATTAATTATCTGTTCTGAGCCATTCATAAATGATTAGTGCAGCAATTATGGGCTTCCGTAATAGGACCCTTCTAGAGCAGTGCCATATTTCCTGCATTGCCAGGGAGACTGTTCAGATTTATTGTTATTGATAAAAGTAAATTCAAAGTCCAGCTAAAAATCTGATAAAGGGATAATCCTGGAGACGATAACAGATGCAAAGATTTCCAAGGGTTAACAGAGGAGCAGTGTGAGCAGGTAGCATTCCCTGCTCTGTCCTGTCCCAGAGCAGTCATGATCCTTTGGTGGAAATACTTCTGCAGACCATCTCACCTGCCACTATAAAGTGGCATTATGCTTCATGTCATATTTACTTCAAATATATATATTTTTGTACAATTGGTATTTCTGTTATAAGTACCAGCATATATCAACTGATATATTTTAATTGTGATTTTTTTTTTTTTTAACCTACTGTAGTAGTAAAAAATCAGAAAACAACATAGTGTCTGCTTTGGTTTTGAAAGTCTTAACTTCATCATTTGGCATAAATTTTCGGCTAGTTTCTGCACAGATATATCAAATATGTAAAATGTCTTCAGCCAAAGCCAGCCCATTTTCAGCCTTCCATACTTTTATATTCCTAGGTAATAGTTTTGTTGATGTGAAAATGACTTTTTCTGCTTTGTTGGGTGTTTTCTGTGTATGCATGAGAGTTCTCAAACACTGCATTTGCTCACTGACCAAAAAATAGCATTCAGAATACCAAATTATACAGTGGGATTGTTTTTGGCATATACCAGTTTGCATTTCAAGCAGTTTCTCTAAAGAGCTACAAGCATTTTCCACCCTTATCAGGGAATGGGCACGTAAGCTGAAAAGGAGAAGACAAATAGATTCTAGTAACATGCATGGTTTTTAAACTTTACCAGTATTGACTCCTTATTTAGATACTAAATACTCACTATTTAGATACTGAAAAGATTCCTGTGTAGTTTATGAACTTCTCAGAATAAGATCCATAAGAGCTCTGCATTGATAATACCAAAAATAAGGATTAGGGAAAAAGACAGCTTTTGCTTAAATAACTTTTTTTTGTCTGTTATCTAAATCCCTGCATTGCTGACATGTCTAGTTGCCTATATAAAAGTTAGGCTGGAATTTCTGTGGTTGACTTGCACATGAACACTAAAGAGGAAATTAAATCAGCTATTGAGCCAGACACGCTCATGAAGGGAACTCTCATCACAGTGGAAGGTGCTGAGCTGCTCTAAGTTGTGCCACTTGTGAATCCATATAATAGAATTATCAAAAAAAAAAAAAAGAAAAAAAGAAAAGCAAAGAGGTCTTCACCATAAAAGTGATTCCAAATTGACGTCCTTCTTTTGAGAGATTTTTTTTTTTTTTTAAATATGCTATCTGGTTCACATACGGATTCTCCGGTTGGATCTTCTAGTTGATGTCGGATTTTGTTTAAACTGCTGCACTATATAGGGTCTTTGTAGATTCAAGGACTTGCTCATATGGAACTGATTAAAGAAATGCTGCTGGTACAGCTACAATGCCATGCTTCTCTTCTCATGGTACGCGTACTTAATCCTGTTATCAACTGATGAAGACAACAGACTCCAAGCAGAAGATGAAACAGGGAGATGCAGCTGTAATGCATGCCTAGCTGAGAAAGACAGTATGCTTTTCATAATGTCATTTGAATAATTGTCAACATTGGTAGATTTTTTTTGTTGTTGTTGCTATAAAGGTTTAGAGATTATTCACTGTAAGCCTCAGTTTTCAGGCCTTAAAGTGAAGCTGCCTGAATGAACTGGAAGTTAAGTTACCTTGATAAAGTTTCCAGAGCTGCAGATGCATTGGTGGGAGTGTTATTTAGCAAGCTGTTCCAAGAGGAGAAGGCACTTTCCAGTTGTCTTTGTGCACTTCATTCGTATTTGGCTTGTCACTTCCCCAGCTATGGTGCAAAAAAAGAGCATGCTAACTACAATAACTGGTCAGTTATTTTTGTTGTTGTTGTTGTTTTTAATTTCAGTCTGTTCTTTCTCTAGGTAAAAGCGATCCTTTCTGTGTATTAGAGCTGGGAAATGACAGTCTTCAAACACACACTGTTTACAAGAACCTCAACCCCGAGTGGAACAAAGTTTTCACATTGTAAGTGGATTGCTTGTGAAAACATGCTGCAAATACCAAAGCATTAGCAGCTTAAATATAAAACCCATTGACTTTGTAGAAATAAAAAGGTCAAGTTTAAGATGTTTCATTTTTTCATAGTCAGAAGAGGATGTTGGAGAAATATCAAATATAACTCAATTAAAGCCTTTTGCCTTTTATTAGTTCTTGCATGGAGTTTATTAATAGAAGTCATTAAAAGAAGAATTACTGTGATATTTATAGGAAGAATCATGACTAGACATAATGGAGTCATATCTGGATCCAAGAGATAATATAACAGAAAATGGAGACCAGATACTCACGCCTACATTTTCCATAATTTAAAATAAAATATGTTTCATTGAGCCATGGTAGAACACCTCATTTAATTTGTAAATAAGCACAAAATTAGAGTTCACGTTGTTCCTGATATAGCTGATGAATTTAAAATAGTCAAAGGTAGCTTACTGCAAGTTAGAAGCTTATATTTTTTTCTGAAATCTGAACCCTGCATTTTTAGAGGAGTTTATTAATAAACGTTAAGTCATAGTAGAGGTATTAGCAGCACAATTTTTTTTATCTTCCTTTATGCTGACGTAGATTTTTTGTGAGTAACTGAGTGAGATGATTTTCTCTAAGACCGTGGTAGTCTGTGGGAAAGAAGGCAACCATGAGTGCTGACAACTGAGCCTTTATCATATCTACACCTGTCAAGTGAAAGAATAATACGAGAATTATGGAGTTCTTGCAGAAGCAGCATTCAGAAAGCCTGAGCTGGATCTAAACACAATGAAAAGTATCTGATCTCCTTGCTCAAAGTGCTTTAGTGTGTTTCTATTTAATTCATGGGTGCCAGAAACTGAATTTGTGAAATACTGAACTCTTTACTCCGTCTGATGTCTTCTGCAACTGAATGCATGTCTTTTACAGCCGTTTCCTATCTCGTACTTTGTCCTTTCTCAAGAAGCTTCTGGTCATCGTTATTTTTTCTGAGATTGTGCCAGCGGATGAGTATTGTAGGATGTTCAGCCAACAAAATAAACCTAATTAGAATCCAAAATGATTTTTTCTTTTTTCTTAAAGGCAGTTTGTATCTATAACGCTTAAGCATCTCAGAAGTGTCAACTGCAGGCTATTGCTATCCTTATTGTTGTTGCATGTTTACTCCAAATAACAAATCTTTAGAGACAGGCCCTCTCTCGCATGTATCTCCTTAGATTTCTGGCCTTTTTTAAAAAATGAGAATTAAACTCCTTAGAAGCGATTGATGATTTAGATTTATCTTGACCCAGAGTGGATTGCTTCAAGTGAATCCATTTCAGCTGGCATGTTCAATACTACTAGAGAGCCTACTTGTGTTATTCAAGTTTTCTGTAACACGCTTATCTGTGTGTGACACTGAATTTTTAATATTTTATATTGCTGGTAGCTGTATCACATGCAAAATTATAATGGCACGGAGAACTGTATGAAGCTATTTTAAAGTTTATTTGTTTTGTAACTTGGCTTTAGAGGTATCTGGAAATACAGCTGCTAAACTGGCAGATCTGAATGCATTTTAAAGCCGTAGGGTGTTGAGAACAGTGTGCAACAGGTTAGTTGTCTGCCTCTAGTGCCTAGGTCACATCAAAGAGCGTAATACAGCCGCTGGCTGGAGAAGCAACCATGAGGCTTTTAGGTTCTGAGCGTGCTCCATGACGGTTACTTGTCATAGCTAGAGGTCCCAAGAGCAGTAGTGTTCTCAAAGGACCTTCTTCAAGGCAGAACAACCTCGCTCAGTTAAATAACACACACGCTCTACCACTTGTCTCTTGCTTTAATTTTTGCATTTGAAAAAAGATAATGAATATAACTCATAAGTCATCTTGAAGTTACCCATACTTTTGCAGGCAGAGATAATTTTTCTCAAATAAGACTCGTATTTATTAACGATCTGATAGCTATTTAGGACTGAGTGCCTACTGCCACATAAGTAGAGCTTTTGGACTGGATGGAACAAAAATATTGTCCATTTGGCCTTTAATTCCTGTTATAATTTTTTTTAAAGTAATTAGCTTTGTTAGTACCTTAAAAGGGAGATAATTGTTCAAGTCAAAAGAAATCGCGTAAGTTTTCTCTGCATTGCTTTTCACATATGCTTATTGTCCTGAACTGCAGTTTTAAATTTGCCTCTTGACCCCTCCCGATCACCAGCTGCTTCTTGTGAGAGCCTAGTGCTATGTTGTTATAGTCAATATCAAAAAATGTCACTATCTAGTAGTTATTTTCTTCACCTAGTTATGTGACTGAAACATGAGGGGAAAGCTTGGGGAATACCCATGATTTGATTCAATTTTTTGGAATTTAATTAAATGCTAGTTTCATACTCCAAGGTAATGCAAACTTAATTAGTAAAACAGTATTCTCAGATCTTTGTGGAGGAGAGTCTGTGCATGTATATAGAACGTTATTTTTGTGTGTGTGTCTACCCTTTTCGTTCCAGCCCTATTAAAGATATTCATGACGTTCTCGAAGTGACAGTATTTGATGAAGATGGAGATAAACCTCCTGACTTTCTTGGAAAAGTTGCCATCCCTTTGCTCTCTGTAAGTTACGTTTGCTATGTATATCATTCAAGCATTGATGGTTTCGCTGGGAACAAGTTTCATTTCTTTTCCCCATAGTACAAAGCAACACAGATTTAGAGATAAACAGGTTTTGTGATGTATGTATGTCTTAGTTGACAGTGTTTATAGTCCTCCTTAGTGTAACAAACATTCTCAGCCCATTTTAGTACAAATTTGGTTGATTGGAAAGAAAATTGTAGAAGTGTCTGTACTTCATCAGTACTATATGGCATGCAAGTCTGAAAACATAATTGAGTTGTTCTGTATGTTTCCACATCATCTTCTGAAGGTAACACTTTAAGCATGTCTTTGTTCTGTCTTGCTTCTTTTTGCTCCAAGAAAGTAATTGCACATCACAGTAGGATTGACTAGAGATAGCTGTTGTTATTGGCACAGCTGAATAAAATTACCTAAAAGGGGTGTTTTCCACTCCATAGTGCTTTTAAAGACGGGTGGCTTTTGTTCTATAAACAAATATGTGAAGAGTGAGCGCTACCATGGGAGTGTAAAATCAAAACTGGAAACAAAGCAAGCTCAGGGGAAAGTGGTTGCTCTGGAGATTAAGGAGGTTTAAGCTTTTTCAGAGGTGGCCAAAAAAGGCCAAGCTAAAGAGAGGGGAACATTAAAGGGTCATTAAAAGATGTTAATAGAGAAATAGGGAAAAGCAGGTTTGTGCCTGATGAGACTGATTTAAATTGGAACAAGGCTAGTAATAGTAGCATAAGTAAACCAGATCAAGAGGATGTAAACAGCTCCGTGTGTGTATGTATATATATGCAGTATTGCAAAAGATTCTGGTAACTTTTGCAGTAAAGTTTGGCAATAACTTTCTAGGCTAGTGGCTCTTATTAAATCAATTAACAGCTGGGGCTAGAAGCCTCATGGGACCCTCACATTCATGCTGCTAAAGTCCGGCTAAGCGCGTGTTTTAACTTTAAGCATGGGGATTTTCTTGAGTTTCGAGGCACTGGCATTTTTCAGTTGGTTCCCTGTATGGAAGGGATGCTGTGATGTATTTAGGCAATGAATACAGTGTCAGGCCCCGTATGAACATTTATACTCACGATGTATAACATGATTCAGGTAATACATGCATGTGGATGGCGTGAAGCTTTAGGTCATGCATAATGTGGTGCTGCGGATAACAGCTCTCGAAAAGGCAGCCTGTGAATTCTGATTGAAGTTGTTATAGCACCAAAACTACTGTATGGTTTTGAAATGTCCCTGTGAACGTGTATTCCTCTCTGCCAAAAAGGCTGTGGCCCACATATCTCATAGGACGAGAGTTTGTCTTTGAGTCTTAGCGGTGGGCTAGTGAGGGAAAGGTGATATTGGAACAAAGGGCCTCAAAGAGACAGTGATAATGGGAGGTTTCTAGGAGGAGAGCACAAATTTCATTCAAAGTGGGCCATGTAAGTGCCACAGAGTCAGCTGGAAAATTTATGGACATAGTTTAGCTAAGGCACCAATCAAGATCAGAGAGGGAAAGTTGAACTACAAGGATTTGGTGTTTCCCAATAAGTAACAAACTGCTCAGAAAACTGTTGAACCAGCTGAGGATATGTTCCCAGCCTAAAGCATGCTTTATAGCGGTAAAGAAATACGGTAACGTGCTCCATTTTTGTTGTTATTGTGTTTAAATGTGCGTATTTTTGCGTATGCAAGTTACAAACAACGTGGCTTCAGAATCTCTGCTGGCGAGTGTGTTTGTTTTGATCCACTCCTTGCTCTTTACTAGTTATACTGGAGTCCAGCACATGTGCATCCCTGCAATTTTAAGAAGGTGGTATGGCTAAGCTGTAGGAGAGCTTGAGGGGTAAATACTGGACCTTTTGGCACCGTATATCCTCCACTCAAGAAGTGATCCTAGGCAGAGATTCTGCACCAGCCCAGTCTGCCAAGAGACCTGGGTTTGGGCGGTTTCTGGAGTCAGCTTGGATGAAATAAATGGCAAAATCTGTTTTGACGCTCTGTAGAACAGCCTGAGTCTCCAACAGGAGAAGCCTGTCCAGTTCAGTGACGTGCATGTGTGTATACATGCAAGTGTGTGTGCGGTATGAACGTGACAGTGCTAGAATTGCAGCGTGTCCCGCGGTCCTCTTCCCCCCATGGCTGTGACTCCAAGCTCTTTCTGAGGCTGGGGATATTTTAGATTGTTTGTCTGTTTCAGTGGCCTGAATTGTTGATATGTCCAGTTTTAGAACAATATTAAAGTCAGCTTTGCATGGAGAATGATTTGATGTTTACAGGGAGGAAAAAACTCTTAACATCTTTTATTCCATTTCTGATCACTTTGTTAATTTTTCCCAAAGTCCTCATATCTCTGATGTTACTGGAAGAGAGTGGCTAGAGCAGCTGCTCTCCTGCAGATCCAGCGCTTGCCAAATGGTCTGCATGATCGGCAGCAGGCTGTGTGGGCTCACAGTGAGAAGATGTTAGATTTGGATTTTCTGTTGATTTTATAGGCATTTGTCAAGTATCCCTTAGGAAGCATGTAACAAGGCAGAGGAGGGGAGTGTATGTGTGTGGTAATGTCCAAACTCTATTCAGTGTAGGCTTTTTGTCCAAGGTTTGAGACAAAAAAATAAAAATTGTTTATGCTTTCCCTTGCCAACTGATCTTCCTTCCTTCCTTTCCAAACTTCTCTGCCTCCTATTTCAGGCAAATCTATTATAAATGTAATCCTCTCTGCTTCTGATTAAAAAACATTTCGCACCTATTAACTTAGTCTGCTCAGAGAGGAAACTGCAGTTTTCTAAGCTCTTTTCCTTGAAATGGGAATTTCAATCTATGGTTGTCATTTTGAATATAAGTATGAATATATCCTTTGAACTATTTAGGTAAATATGTTGAAAGGGACTGACAGTTAGTTACAGTGGCAAGGACACCTCTGAAACCCCACAGATTTAATTTCTCATAGGTAATCAGGACTAATCCTTGATTTGCATTAAATTCCCTTCTGAAAATAAAAGTGCATTTGCCGTTTTATCCTGTTAAGGTAAAAATGCACAAGTATGACTTGTGATCCGTCAGCATGTGAGGTAAGTTTACTTCAAGAATTGTTTATGGATGACTAAGTTCTCTTCTCAATGAAAAATTGCCTTGAATAAAGTATATGTTGGGGAAATATGAAAAGTTCAATTAATTTGACAGAGAATTTTTGTTTAAATGTGTCTAACAATCCTGCAGTGGCATTTTGCAAATGTGTATGCCTTTGTCAACATGAATACACATTAACATGAATGCCCAGAAATTCACAGACAATGGAATTGGACTCATACTTTCTGTTCACTTGACTGTGATCTAGACTTTTTGCATGCACCACATAAGACATACAAACAAAAGGGAGGAACATGAGTAATTTTAAAACGTCAGACAATGAATAAATCTGAAAACTGCACATTGATTTTGATACCATTGCACTGCTTCTAGTATTTTCTCTATTTTGCAGGTAGGTAGGGGGGTCGAGGGAGAGAAGGTGTGATTTGCCTTTTGTCACCCTCCATCAGGAGGATGAAAAACAAATCCAGCGCTTGCATTTTTAACCCTCACTTCCTCAATGTCAACCAACCCATCGTTCTTTTTCTTCTGTTTCTCTTTACGTCTAACTGCTCACCTCCTATAAGGCATATATAACAGAGACCTAACGTCAAACCCTTTAGACAGCTCTGTTTAGCCACGTTCACAGAAGTCGCATTTAAAATGGAAAAGATGCTGATGAGAGCTATGAGGCTATTCAGGAAAATGGAGCACTGTGTTACCAAAAGAAGCAGGTCCTCATACTAGAAACTGAAGATGATCCTGGGAAGTGGAGAAGTAGGGCAAAAACTTCACTGCTTCAAGAAAGGAGTTGGATAGGTTTAGAAGTTTTGTGGGTTTGAGGGGACTTGAAGTAATTATCAAAGATGTCCAGTCTGTTTCTGTGTTGCTTTGTGACCTCGATCTTACGAAAAGCAGCCATATTTCTCTTTGTAAGAGTCTGTCTTTTTTGTTTTGCTTCAGGAGACTCCTGTCTCCTAGGAGGTTGCAAGTTATTAGAGACAGGGAATATATAACGTGCTTCAATGAATCTGAAAGCAAAGCGTAACAAAAATCTTCATGTAGAAAGACCTCTGACTGAAGTGTTGTATCATAGAAAGGAATGTTTTTATCTGTAGTGTTAAAAGTAGACTTCAGCTGCACCCTTTTTCAGCAAACAGGAAGAGGTCTATGAAATATTTTCAAGCGCCAAGCAAGGTCAGTGTCTGACAATACAGCAAAAACAACTAATAGGACTTTTGCAAGCTTAATTATCTAAAGCATGGCCTGAGTTCAGAGAACAGACACCTGCCAACTGAGATTACTTAGCTCTTGACCGTAAGTGGACAGACTTTTGCGGGAGCAAGCTTGAGAGTTTGAGAGCAAGGAAAATGCCACAATTACGCAACAGAAGCAGCTGTGAAGTGGGATTTCTGTTCTAACTTTTACCCTCTTATGAACCAGAAATATTGGAAGAGGAAAAAAATCTCTTCTGTAAAAACTGACACCTTTCTGAAATGAGATAGTCTCCCCAGACCATGCACTACTCACTGAAATTGGTATCAATGGGAGTGTGTTTTCCTGAGGACCTGCCTTGGATCCTACTGTCTGTGGTTTGTGCACCCAGGGCTTGCGGTCCTTATAGACTGCCTGGACACCCTGGTGTGGCTGCCTGCCTTCACACCATCAGCTCCATCCTCATTTGGTCCTTCAATATTGGTCCTCTGCCAAGAATTCAAATTCCTACCCTACTTTGGATGCCACAGAAGTTTGTTAAAAGGGAAATTTTGGGTGCAAACTGTTTGGGATGAATGAATGGACATTTCTTATAACATAAAAGCCAATCAGTGTATATTACTAGACTGAGAAACAAACGAACAAAAGTATTATTGTCTGTGTGGCTCAAATACGTGGCTTGCTTTCATCTTTTCCTGTGGAAATATGCCCTTTGGTAGGGTAAGTATACGTCTATTACAAGACATCTTTATGTTATATAGGGCAAACGGTATGACATTGTGCATCAGCAATGAGCTTAAGCAGGACTATCAGGGTCCCGAAAGCTTTAGATGGATTACCCTTGGAGAGTGGCCATTACCCTTTCCACACGTCGTGGGTGTTGATGTACAGAGGTTTAACCTAGCGTTGTTCTGTCAGGTCATCAATATATGACATTGAATCTGCATCAAAGCTGGTTGCAGAGTGAAGTTTTCTTAAAATCAATGTAAAAAAAAAACCCTACACTAACCCATATTTCTTTGAGACAAGAGCAATGAAAAAACACCCTTTGCTGCGTAAGGGTCCTGTCTTCTCAGTGTTTTGTGTCATATCAATCTCAGCTTTTGCGATTTCATTAAAATTCCCAAGCGGTCAGAAGGTTGTTGCTTAATAGATTTAGCATTGGCTGGCTACATCAATACTGTGTTTAGTCACATTTGTTTTACTGGGGACATCTGTGAGAAGAGTTTAGCAAATATATTCATTCATTTGAAAGGAACTCGGTGCACTTTGAGCCTTGACTGCACTGCAGTCTCGTGTACCTGAACATTTCCTTCCCACGGAGAGACAATAGCGTAAGTTAGAGCGCTGCTGGACGTTGCCTGGGCAGGCCAGAATACTTGGTTCCCAAAGAATTTTAGCATTTTCTCCAAATGATATATTTCCTTTGCATGGTGCTGTATAGGGAAAGGATTGTGGTATGGAAGTAGGTGTGAGTTGTTCTGTGAAAACATGATGTTTTGTCCTTTTGAGTTGATTCAGATCAGGCAAATGCCTCAACTGTCAGAAATTTCCGTGGGATTAAATATATGTTTGTTTTTAATCCCCCCCCCCCACACACACCGTGTTTTTCTGACCTTGCAAAATGAAATAAGTTGGTGGGGTAGGTTTTACTGTCTTCATGTAAATCACCTTGTTATGGGCAGTACTGGTGATTAAGCCCTGGTATGTTGTATGCTATTAACATGTTTTCAGAGAAAGTGGGCATTAATATTCAATAGGCTATGAAACAACATCAATAAAGGAATAATATTGATTACGTCTCTTCAAGGACCTCACCTGCAGACATTTTCACAATTAATTTGAATATATATGTAAGAGACTGAAAGACCATTCCTTTCCTCTTCACGTGAATATATACATAAATATTCGCATGGATAAGATAACCTATTTTTGACACTGCTACCAGGAATATTCATTGAGGGAAATCCATGTGAGATCAGGTACCTAGCAAAAGGTGTTTGGGTAACAAAAAGATTAGATTTCTTTCAACATTTAGGTTCAGTCTAGGATCCCAGGGCAGATTGCAACATCTGTTCACCTTTTCCATAGCTGCAGACAGCATTTCAGCAGTATTTGTGAGCAGCCGAGATTGGGAGAAAATATTCAGAGAGGAAAAATAAATGGATCCAAAATTAAAATTAGTATGACTGATCATCTCTAGAGAGGGGAAAACATTGAACAGAATCTGAACTCTAATGAGGAGAAAAACTGTGACCCAAGAAAAATACACAATGAAAATGTGTATTAAAAGCTGTTTTGGATGCTTTCTTTTGGGCACATTTGAGACATGCCATTGATGTAATCTCCATGCAGTCACGTGTGTTAGAATTACCCCATAGCTGTTGTTGAACCACGCTGGGTTAGCATGTTGCCAAAATTGTAAGTGAGATTTTTGTTTGACATTTGCAAAGTTTTTTTTTTAATCCAAATGAAAAGATAGTGAAGAAATACCATTTTATAGCCACTTGTTCTTTTCTCTGTGCCTTTCCCCCCCACACTGAAGAAGCTGAATGTTTAGTCTTGGGCTGAGTTATAATTGCACATCTTTTACCACAAAAGCCAGCCAGAATTGAAGATGCCAAATAAAGCTGACTGTAAAACTGAATCTGTCCTGCCACATATTTTGTCCAATTCAATTTTAAAATGACAGGAACAACAGTTATTATCCTTACCCGTTTAAAAAGTCTCCCAAGCAAAAACCAGCCCCTGTTACCAAAGACTGAGATAGAAGTTGCTCCTTGCTGATGGACTCCAACTTACTGTGTGAACGCACCTGCAGACATACCCTGAATCTTTGGGTTGGCTCCAGCTGTGTAAATGAAGAGGTTGGTTTTTTTTTTTTTCTTCCCAAAATCCAAATAATTTTTGAGGCGCAGAGGGCTATGATGCCAGAATTGGACTGTCTCAGAGTGATGGCTTTTCTAATTCCTTCTTCTGTGAACTTAGCAGTATATGACATTTCTTTCCTTCTGCTCTGGAAAGATGCAAGGAAGAAGTGTATTCCAAGGAATAGGAAACGAACTTGCTGCTAGTTTTGACTCCTAGGATAATAGGATGAAACGTTATGAGGAACGTGTAATTGAAATATGTGGAAATTCAGCCCCCAAATTCATATTCATAGAGAATCCAGAATTACGATATTGTGATGTTTATGCAAAGTTGCACCTATGTGTCCACAGGCTCATGGTGAGCAACGCACCTTCTGCCCCATGGCAGGGGAGTACGTGAAGTGAAGCTCAGGCTAAAGCTGCTGCTGGCGGCTGTTCCCTCGGACCAAAGGAGTAATGGCCGCAAACCGGCTCCATCTGGCGCTGTACTTTCATCATCAGCAAATCTATTTTTTCCAGTTCATTTGGAAAATGGAACAAAAATCTTTAATTTCCAAATACACTTTATTTTGTTTTCATTCAACAGCCTTTTAACATTTCTTTTGCCCTTGTCTGAGGGGCGGGGGAAGCAAACTGTTGCACAGCAGAATCCTTTATGCTAGGCAGGTATTACTTTATTTGGCAGCTGGCGTGAGGAATCTCCGATTCCAGTCCCTTTGGCCCAGAAGAGGAGCCAGCTTCCTCGGTAGCTCTTCTGCTGTGGGGCTGCAGATTATTTGAGGCTGGTGGTCTGCCTGCTGCTGTCTTGGGAGCTGCGGTGTCCTTCGCACCCGACTCAGACCCCTTCTTGTTCTCGTCTCTGAGAAGTGGAAGCAGAGGCGATTCATGATCGGTTCAGTGCCATGTCTTTTACTATTATTATTATTTGAGGGGAAGAAATCCTATATATGATTGCATAACCCCCAGCATCCTGTTAAGCAAAGTTTTGGATGAGAACATTAACAAAAGCTAGAGTTCCCGTTTGGACTCCACTGAGGATGCAAACTTAGGCGTTTTAGGGCCCTGTTTCCTTTTAACCGTTAGCTAGGAAAGCCACTTACCCTTTGGTGAGCTATTTGGTACAGAAAGGTGGAGCAACACTGGGAAGGAAAGTGATCTTTCCCTTGTCATATGAAATCACCTGGTTCCCATTTATGCCTTTTTTCTCCTTAGTCCTTTCTACCATGGTTTAATATGAGCGCCTCTTCTAAATGCCACAGCAGCAATAACCATTTTAAATATGGTTGCAATTTCATGCCCCCAAATTTCCTCTGTTATCTTTAATCCTTGATCGTTACAGTCCCTGAACATAGCTTTTTGGTAAGCTGCAGTTTTTTTATGTTACTGCTGTTTAGAATTAACTGGTCTGCTTCCTAAAAAGCCAAATGTTTAATCAATACATATCCTACTGTGTATAATAAATACATTTTTGCCACCACTTTCTGAAGAGAGAATGTTTTTGATTTGAGCCAAATAGTTTACAAAATGGTGAGAGAAGGTGTGTGGTTTTTTTTTTTTTTTTGAATAGATGTTTGGTGCGATAGAGCCAACCGGCAGATTAGAGCATAGAAACAGCATTGAAATACTGGGGGAGTTGGATGGGGGAGTTTTTACATGAATTAGTTTATTCTGAGCATTTGTTACGCTAACACTCACTGTAATTAAGCTGATTAATTTCTTTGGATTCTGTTTGTTTCCTGGGTAATAATTTGACAACCTTTTGGTAAGCTAAGCATTAAGAAGTAGTTTCATGTACTGGAGTGTGCAATAGATAGGTAAGTTGTCGTGGCTCTTTTCCTGAACTTTGGAAGAAAAATTCCATTTTAAACCTGTAATAACAGTGCCTGATTACTTCCCATCAACTCACTGGCTTCCAGGGCAGAATTTTCAAACTGGTTATTGCTTGCACTGCTCTACTGTAAAGTACAAGGTCTGTAAATTAAAGTTGGACCATAAGAGATTTAATCTGCAATTTTATAGGTCTCTAATCCAACGGTTATTTTATATTTCAAGCTTTGAGTATATTATCAGGATTTGGGAAGTTCTTGTGTGTGTGTGTTTGGGATTTATTTATTTACTTGTTTTTAGTGTCTTTTAAAATTATATTGTGAATTGCAGCAGGGAAAATAGTGATGCTTTTTTTTTTTTTTTCCTACCCCCTCTACACTATAGATTAGAAATGGTAAACAAAGTTGTTACACACTAAAGAATAAAGACTTGGAATGTGCTTCAAAAGGAGTAATTTACTTGGAGCTGGATGTCCTATTTAATCCTGTAAGTTGAAATCTTTTTTCTTTGTTTATCCTTTGCGTAAAAAATCAGGCATGCCTGACCCTGCAAGGGTTGGCGAGGTGGGATTGATCCTTTAAACGTGGGGACCAAACAGGAAAGATGCTGCTGTAAACGCACCTGGCTGTGGAGGGTTGTGCTTCGTGCTTTTGGTAAGGCGGTATTGGCGCAACCATCCGTCCAGGTGGATGAGAGGATGCAAAGGCAGCTCGGGACTGACAGTGACCAGCGATTTCTTAGGAAAGCGATGTGGATTATTGTCCATAAGGGCTTAATTTGGAACAGCCAAAAAAAGGAGTTAACATTGAGATTATTATACATTACTTTTAACACCTACTTGCTCCCAAAAAAGCTGACCCGCAGTGTTCTCCTCACAGGGTGTTGACAGGAAAATTAATGAGGCATGCACATGGTGCGCTGAGTTTTTAGGTGGCTGAGTCAGTCTCAACTGTTTATGCCCTACGGTCCTTTACCGACTTAAGTCCTGTTTATTAAGGCGATCACGGGCTGTAAGGCAGCTCCTTTCGTGCTGGCCCGGTGGTACGGCGAGACTGGTGACCGTTCCTGCTTAGGGCAGCAGCGCGCAGGGGTGACTTTGGCTGTGGAGTTGGGAGGGCTGGTGGGGGCAGCTGCTTCCACCTGTGCTCGGAACGCGGAGGAGCCAGCCCGGCGCTGCTGGACCTGCGGAGATGTTTCGGATGGCTGCAGCCGCTCCGTGTCCGTGTCTGAGAGGAACTGTGGCACCCCAGGGCTGAGGGGCTGCCTTGGGGGACACCAGAGGCAAATCCATAGTCAGGAAGAAGCTTCCACCAGAGCCTCGGGCAGGTATCAGTCCTCTTGTCTGTACGCTGGTGCTTTAGCCACCAAGCCGTTCTTCCACGTATAGCGAATGTATGGGGTTATAAATATTTATTTCAATAGGAAGTCTCACTGGTTTCTTTAGGTCCGTTCCTGAATGACTCTTAGGGGAGGTCAGGCTTACCCAGTTTAACTCCTGCACGTTTTTCCTTGGTTTGAGGGAAGGGGACGGCAGGTACCTGGTGCGATGGACGCGTGCACCTAAGGGGTTTGGCTGAGGTTAAGGGGGGACTGCTTGTACTGTGCAGTCGCTGCCCTTCAAGCCGTTAGATCAGGCTCTGGTCACCAGTGGAGAATTAGATTTGTGCCAGGGTTGTGGGGAGTATCGTTATGTACACCTAGCAACTCGCCATAAATCGTTTAGGGACTCTAAAATGAGAAAGATGCTGAAGTTCCCGATCAACAGTGGTGATTCAATGCTGAAATGATAAAGCTAAAAGAACGTGACTTTTTTTTTTCCTTTTAGGTAAAAGCAAGCATTAGAACATTCAAGCCACGAGAGAAGCGCTTCACGGAAGAGAACCGCAAATTTTCTAAAAAGGTAGTGTTTGTCTTTGGACTAAGCTCTCATGTTTGCTTTAGGAAGATTTTAGTTAGCGTAGGATGGCTGTAGGAACAAACCTGTTTATGCACAGAAACACATGTAAAATCCTATGGCTTTTTCTGTATATATTTAAACACTTGTTTGTTAACATGAAATTGTTTTCCGATCTCGTTTGCACCAGTAGTTCTGCTTTGTGCTTCAGGGTGGGGAAAATGAGGCCCATGGATGTTGCACAGTTCACAGAACCTAAAACAAAACAAGAGCCAGGTTTGTCCCTTCCATAAGGAAGAAACCAGGTCTGAATTAGTTGCTTAAAAAGTCTGGTAGCTTTTTAGAAAATGACCGTTATCCTTTTTAAAATAAAGGCGTCCTATAATGACGCTGTAATTTCGTATTTATTTCTATGGACTAATCCAAAATATGTAGAGAAAAGGTTCTGTATTTGGATTAAAGTCTGTCTGCCTGTTTTCCTGAGACATCGTTATATTGTAAAAATTGGAGGGGAATAAAGGTAGGTTTCTGTTACTGTTTTGTGTAGTTTTGGCATCAAAATTTGCTGGTTTTTTCTTCTTTTTCTGAGGGATAAGGGAAATGGTTCTGAAAGGTTTGAATGTAATCAGAAAGCAGATAGGAGCTGGAGAACGTCTCTGAAATAAAAGCTTTATTTGTAATGTATGCCCTGGCATGCATTTGTAGCTTAAATTATCCCTGTTTCTGAAGCAATAGTAGGATATTAGAGTATTTGATTAAACTCCTCTTCTCCTCCCCTCCTCCCACTCAATATTTATCAGATCTTATCAAGAAATGTTGATCGTGTGAAAAAAATCACCATGGCAATATGGAATACAATACAGTTCCTTCGGAGCTGCTTTCTCTGGGAGTCCACGGTAAAGAGTGTGATAGCGTTTGTGGTAAGTGGATTTCTTCTTTATTGCATAAGACTAAGTGATATAAGATCTCGAGTGTTGCAGTGCCTTCCTCCCCAGCAGCTTAAAGCCACATATCGTTCGCTGTTTTTGGTGTTTTCTAGCTGCGCTGCGGTATGGCGTATGAAGTCCAAACTCAGGCCTGGGTTGGGTTGGGTGGGCACAGGACTTAGGCCTTCAGGAACAGCCTCTTTGTCCTCGGTGCAGGGGCTTTCTGTGTCTCAGCAGGTCTGCACCCGCTTTCTATGGGTGTGATGTGGGCATTTCCCGCTGCTACCGCAGACTGTGCCGCGCGTCCTTATCGTGCGTAAGCAGGTCTGCTGACGTTGCTTGTTGCAAATCTCTTCTCCCGACGTAATAGTATGTTGTTTAAGGGGGAAAAAAGTAGTAGTAAAGGGAAAAGGCCGGTCAGCGTGTTCTGCTCTGTTCTGAGAACAAAAAGCCAAGTTCTCTACCTGCCTGTCCCACTTTTCAGCTCTCTCCTTTTTCCTCTTGGTAGTAAACACCCCATTTGCAGCTTTCTCATAATCCACTCAAGCACAAAAAGGTTTTGCCTGCTTTTCATTCTGTGATGTGACATTTTCTTCGTGCTTGAAATGTTTGGCATGCCATTAAAGGTTGCAAAATTGTTCTGTGGTGGTCCAGCATGAAAAAAAAAAGTTTGAGTCGTGTGTTTATTAAGCAAAATATCGGCTACGTCTCCAAGATTTCTAACCCTTTTACTGTCTGTGAATTGTAAATTGCTTTAAGGTTCTTTTGAGGAAAACACTTCACAGTGTATTTGCTACAGATGTGTAAAGTGAGCCATCCCTGGTTGAAAGAAGCTCAGAGTAAAGGCAGAGAAGCTGTCTTTCACCCTGCAGTTTAGAGGAATGACTGGCAAGTAGGAGTAGAAGGGAAGAAAGAGTATTGTCTGTATTTTTTTTTTTTTAACTTTTGTTCGAAGCTTGTTTAGATCACATTCAGAGCTCAGTGGTTCAAGAGCTGGTGACTAGTGCCTTCAAGTGTCTTCTCCACTGAAGAGCAGAGATGCTAATTGATACACCCTTCCATAGGACCCGTATCGATATATGGAAAGTGCCAAGAGGAAGAAAACCTAAACAAACTCATCAGCCTTGCTCTCTAGGCCTAAAGGTGATGGACTCCTCCGAAGAGGTGGAGCTGCTGGGCCTGAGCGTGCATTTGCAATAGTGGCGGCTCTGAAATCCCTCTGCTTGTGTCGTGCGTAGGAGAGGGCGGCGGGTACCTCGCCGAAGCAGATAGGGCTGTGCGCGCTAGAAGTGGAGAGGGAGGGATGTGCATCCCCAGTGCCGGCGTCCTGTGCTCAAGTGCTTTGCTGAAGCAGGGATCGAAACACTTGTGAAGTTACAGCTGTTTTCTCGACTGTGGAAAAGTTTAGCATTGTAAGCGATAATGAGGCAGAAATATAAGAAGGTGGGAAAGTGGGTCCACAGAAAAATTCCTGGTAAAAAGGACGGTTGAGCACTAACGTAGAAGGCTACAGGTTACAGGTCAGTAACACCTTTACTGTATGCCGTAATGCTACTGATTTCCTACCAGAAAGTGCATAGTGGGAAAGGAAGAGAAATACATGCATATGTGAATGCGGGTAAGAAGAGGTTTCCTTTACAAATCAAAAATCTGATTTTTCACGTGGAAACAATTCAGCTCCTGCACATATAATGAAGAGCTAATTCTGTATCTCTCGATATTTGCAGTACGTGTGTTCATAGTTCTGGAGATATGCAAGCAGCGTGGTAGGTACAGTAAAAAAGCCCAAACCTGTGCATGTAATCCATTCTTAATGGGTTAAATAAAAGGTGAATTAAAATAGCACATTTGTAAAATCATCATTCCCCAGCAAGCAGCTTCTATATACCTTACGTCCTCAGCTTCGAATCAGCTTAACCCGGTACCATATTTATCCTAACAACCCACTTGTACCTGTTGCCGAAAGCCTTTGGGGAGGGTAAGATGTGCAAAGCTCCTTGGATGTTTTTCAGCTGGGTTCTTGAAACCATGGCTGTTCAGAGATAGGTAAACGTGTGCCAGGCCCCAAAACCTTAGAACGCCCTTCTCTCCCAGAAGTTGTTCCTTGCACTGCTGGCAATAATGAAGCTTGGTTGCATTCTATATATTTCACCTATTCTCACTGCAAGTTAAGCCCGAAGAGCGGGTTCCTGATGACGCCCCACCCCACTCCCTTGTTGCATTGCCCTTGGTTTCCCTCTACAGGCTCTGCAGGTAGCCTGTGTCCCCCCTGCCAAGGGGGAAGGGAGGGAGGGAAGAGGAGGAGGAAGACAGGCAGGCAGTGCAATCATATGAGCCTTGTTTTCTTAAGCAAGCGGACTATAAACACAGCCAGACAAAAGAAGATATGTGTGAGTGATCCTCAGAGCATTGCAACAGGCAAAGATTGTAGGATGTTGCACCTTCCTTCCTGGTTTAGTCTTTATTACAGTGTACCTCCCTCCCCGTTAACGCTGACAGCTAGGGCATATGACGAGGGCATGTGCTACAACTTCTGGGTGCACAAGAGAAAAAAAGGGACAGATAAAGAGAGGGGAAACAGAGGAGGATAGCACAGACGGGACACAGGTGAATGAGAAAAATGCTGTTACCGTGTGTTCTCATTTCTAAGCTATATCATCCCCGCTAAATTTCTGTATTAGTCTGTTTATGGTGAGAGGAGACAATCCAAGAACATGTGAGTAGATTTCTTTTGCACTTTAACAACGAGATCTTTCTTTGTATCTGTATTCTGCATGTTTAATCTGATGACTTTTAACCCGAGTCATTCATATAGGCACTAAGGACCCGGATCAGGCCTGCCTAGGTAGAAGTGAAATTAGAATGTGGGCAAGTTTAGGGGTTTTGGAAAGAGGATTGAATGGGAGGTGAAGTGAAAAGCAAAATGTCCCTTTTGGAGAAATGCGAACCGTGCACAAAGGGGTCAGTACAAATTGTATGTTATGCTTAAATTCAAAAAATAACGCGTCGGAGAAATGAAAGTCATACATAGGTTTTTGGCTTCATAATAGCGTAAACTTCATGTTTGCTCAGGTGCCAAAATCGGCACCATATGCTTATGCATAACTGGAAATATCAGCACATGTGTGGAGAAAGTTGCCTGTAGTGGATGTTAATAGTGCTCGTGTAGAGAGAGCAATCCTAGAAGGGTTGGTCTGTGTGTTCTCATTCTAGGTAGGATTTTTTTGATACTTGTAGAGAACGTTAAGACCAAAAGGCTCTTTTGACAGTCTACTCTAATTATTTCATTTTCATATAGTCATGTCTGTATTCAACCCAGTAAGTTGTGTTTTAGCTGAAACGTACCTCTCAAAAAGGGCTTTTTGTTGAAGGTGCTCTAAGATATGCTCCACTATGTCCATTTGTGGTGCTGCTTGCGTGCCTGATGCTCCATGTGCTATCCTTGACCATTTGTTCCCAGTGTCCAGGGTGAATGTTCTGGTTTTAGCCTTGATTTCATGGTACTGCTCACACCATCCTCTTGTGACACCTTACTCCATTGAAGCATCACTTCCACACTGCGTTACTGGTGCCCAGAAAGCTGGAGTTGCATAGTGAAATATGCCTTAGGAAGTGTCTGCTTGTAAGTCATTTTGTATATCTATGTGATTATAAGCTGTTTGTTTTTTCCACTCATGCATATGAAAGCTCATGTTCTCATCTTTCACAAGCAATTTTAAATTAAAGTCCTACTCCTTCCTCCCACATATACTCACTCCCTATCTGCTTTGCTCCCTCTCTCACAAATTTGGTCATGGAAGTTAAATCCGTAGTAAGAAATGAATAGTTCTTACTGGACAAAATATATTTTAAAAATATTTCAAAAGTTAATTTTAGTCACAGAATGATTTTTATAAGGAATTATGCATCGTTGCACATTGTGCTTGTGATTTTCTACAACGTAATTACACCTTCTATTGACAGTTTTCTAAGCATTAATGGCAATTATGTCATTTAATGAAATTACAGTAAATGCATTAAAAAAAACTATAATCTGATGGAAATTGAAAGGATATATTGACTGGAATTCTTACTATCATGTATGTTTTTTTTTTCTTTAGTTTTCCTGATAGATTGACATTTCCTGATAGAGGCATTGACAAGATCAGGTGAACTACAGAAAACCAGCCTCCCTAACACCTCTATCGTGACTGGCAGGGCTCAGTGCTGATTTGCTTCAGGGTCCCTGCACGCTAAGCCATGCCAGCACACTTCATTTTCACTGGCAGGGTGTCCCGCTATATCGCGTTTAGGCCTCTGCTCATCAAGGCTGCTGCCAGGGTGGGTACAGGTGGGAGTTATTTTTCAGGCTCAGACCTAGCTGGCAGCCTGGGTGAGACAACGAATGCAGCATGCACAGGCAGTATTTATTTATTTTGCAGTGACATTGCAGCGTGATAAATCTTTTATGATGGGTCAGTATGGGGAGGAAAGGAAGGAGTGTGTGGTGATGCAACATAACGGAGTTGAAAAGTGGAGGTCCTGGTCAAACCCACTGCAGGTGTTTAATGGCAGAGAAATGACAAGCATGGTATCGCTTTGAGTGAGTCAGGGCTTCCCAAAAAGGCAGCTGATACAAGACTAGGGAAGCCCTGGGGTTTGTAGCTAAGAGGCAGCTGCCTGGCAGAGCTGCTGGGGGCTGCGGATGCAGCGGGAAACCCAAACTTCAACTCTGGAGCTTCTTGCAGCTGAGGTGGGATTCTGGGGTCCTTGGCCAGGTAGGAGCTCCAAGCCCTGTAAATCCAGAAGGAGCTGGGTCTGGGGGCTGACTAGTTTTTTGGTGCTGGGCTGCGGGTACCGGACTGCCCGAGGAGTCATGAGTTTTGTGCACTCCTGTATACAGCCAAGTATTGCATGCACTTCTTTCCATATTCCCTGCTGAGTTTCTCATCACCGGGGTGTACAGCTTTCACAACATGCGCTGCTCATGCATTTCTGGCAAATGAGTGTTCATT